GGTTGGAACTGATGAGCGCTGTGCTCCTGTGCAGCCCAGGCCATGCAGGAGTCTGTGGTCCTGGATGAATGGTTCATTTTGATTCTGCAGCAGTTCATATTTTCAGGGGTCCTTTGCACTGACAGGCAGAGGTGAGTGGGAGTGCAGGAGGCATCCAGCAGTGCTGAAAGGTTCCCAGCTCTGCTCTGCCACTGGCTGGTAGCATGCAGTCTGTTTACTGCTCACTGGACGTTTTGCTGCTTACATCGGTTCACAAGGTGAACTCAGACGTGTGTAGAGTGGGAGATGGAGCTGTTATCATCTGTAGGAGTTCAGTGAGTGAACTGAATAAATGAAGCAATTTATTTTCTGGTGAGTGCGACTCCAGGTGAAATGAAGTTCCTGAACCACAGCTGACAGAGGCGGCATCTTTTAGAACGACGGCTGTGATTCGTGTTCAACCACCGGGAGCAAAGAGTGGCTCCGTCTGCTCGGATGCTCTGGCGTGGGGCTGTCAGCAGGGGCTGAGCAGGTGCCACGCGTGGAAGCCTGGAGTTGTGTTCACACAACACTGTGACAGGAATAACAGATTTCCTATCTGTCTTCCAAATAACAGCAACCCAGGCACAGCCTGCAACCGAGGGAAACTCGGGATGAGAGCACTGAGAGACTTAGCAGAAATACGGATGGGAAGGTTGGAAGAGGGCTGTGGTGGGGCATCCTTTGCTGTAGCTCTTGTGAAACTTCCATGGCAGTTTGTTACGTCTGCACCAGGAAATAAATGCTGGGGTGCACTGAAAACTGGAGGTTTGGCCCTAAGCTGAGAGATCCTCCCTGGGTAGAATTAAAATCCTTAGCTGAGAATGCATAGGGGAGAAGGTCCTGGAAGGGACGAGCGTAGCTGTCACTGTCAGTGGTCTGCTGCAGCAGGATTAGAAAGCGCCGGCCTTCCATCCATTGCAGTCAGAGCTCGAGAGCCAAACACACCTTCACCACGTTCCAGGAGACGGATCCGTTCCCACTCTTCTGTCTAATGCAGCATTTCCTTGAGAGCAAGCCAACGTTCTCCATGTCCTGTTACCATGCCAGCCCAGGCAGTT